TGTGTACTACTCTTTCTCTTTCTTGCATTCTGTGTCCGCGCCGTGAAACAGAGCGAGAGAGGTTTGGACACGGCGCGAAAGGTTGAGGAGACTACCAGTGTCGTCGTAATGTTACGGGTGTACCCGTTAGCCGCTTGTACCTTTTCCATCATACATTAATATGCATAATATAATTCGAAAGACGATTCTTTTCTTTTATTTATATATATAGGAGAGAAACTCTGTCTAAAGATTTATTAGTACACGATACAAGAAATAGTTTTACAAGAATATAACTTGAAATGTTACTAAATTAATATTCTTTTCGTATTATATTAGAATAAATACGAACAAGAAGAGATTCTTATTACGCAAATATTAAATTTTTTAAATTAATGAAATTTATATTAAAATCTAGTATTTACTTCTAAACATAAACATTCATAATTGTTGCGACGTATAATAATACGTAATATATTCGATTCTTAATCATTGGTGATATAATAAATTAAACTATTAATCAAATATTTATTAAATTGTATACAATACAATTAAATCTCGTTAAATCATAACAATCTAACAAAATAATCGTAAAATTCAACATTTTATCACAATCGATAAAACATTTGTGTTCCAGGGTTAAATAAAATTCTCTTGCACGCCTCAGAATCCACGAGGCAGAACTTTCGCACGAAAGGGAGCGTATCACCTGACCGTATTCCCCAGCTTAAGCCCTCTTTGCTGCAGTCATGGGCCCGGCAAGGTCCTCGATCGTCCCTGGGGGTTCCGGCAGAAAACTCGTCCCTCTCCATCATACTGCAACCCTCTTCTTTCCGCTCGTTCGTCTTCTAGCCACATGCATGTAGGGCTACGTCTTCTCTGGCGTGCACCAGTGTCTTCAGCCTCCGTCAACCTGGTTTCTCTGGCTCGAGCCTCCTCTTTCTCCTTCGGCCCCTTTCATTCTTCTTCTCCCCTGTTGTCTGGGCCCTTGCAGGTCGAGCCAACGAGGACGAAGAGGGAGAGAACAAGCGGGAATATTGAGCAGGCATTCCAATTCCTGCCAGTTACTCTCATCCACGTTCGATTCTTTTCAATCTTATCTTATCCACCTGTCTGGCCCGTGTCGATGAAGCTCGCGAGCGAGCTTATTCGAATATATATTCAGAGACAGGTACAGGGAAGCTTGTTGTTTGTCACTAACATGAGAACGCTCGCTGATATGCCATTCGATGCATGCTAAACGAGCGTGCCGATAACGAGCTGGGATACGATCGAACGACGCATCCGGATTTCCGTGCATCTTCTGCCTGCCTTATTTACTGTATACCGTGTCTGAGATCAATTGCCTGCTCAAGGCCACTCAAGGGTTACTCCCTGTTATAGAGGTCGATTCAATGCTATTCTCGAGTGGAACTCTTCGATTTTATTTTCTTTTTCGTATGTTGTCTATCGAGTAATGTAGGGAGATCGATGTTGAGATGATAGTTGAAGATAAGATATATATATAAGTTTTGACAAACTTGTTTAAATTTAAAAAAATGGAATAATTGGAATAAAGATTTATGCAGTTATTACTTTATGTGAATATATATATTTAATTATTATTTTTAATTTTAAACCGAGACTTTATAACTTTATAGTAAGTTTTTTCAATTTCTCTAAAGTTGGTAAATTGTTACAGAATTCTCAATTTAGATGATATTGATTTAATTATTTTGTCATTGTATCTCCCTTTAGTCTTTCATTTAAAAGCCTTTGACAATTTATTATTATATTAATAGACGTTAATTTGATATTTTATACGATAAATAAGATGTACAATTAATTTATAATTAAAAAAAATCCAAATAATATTTAATAATACCTTCTAATATTCATAAATAAAATTATTATTAATTTTTGACCTATCAGACCTATTGTTCAATGTCGTGAAAAGAATGTGTCTATAGAGATGAAAAATCAATAATGAAGATGTTCAAGCAGAAGAGCATATCGAGGAAGAGGAAAATGAGACGCCAAATGAGACACAAGATAATAAAGAGAGCAAGGATTTTCAGATTGGATAAAAATCGGCAATAAAAAGAGGAAAAAAAAAACTTGAGAGAGAATGATAGAAAAAGAGATTCAGATCCTACTGGCTTTTATCGAGAATTGACGATGGATTTGTTTTCGATCTGATCCATGATATTGAGTCGCCTCTTCGTTCATCCCTATTCCATCATGCTATCGCGCAGACAGAATTCAGGGCTTCTTCGTAGTTTCATTTGAGGTTGTTGAATGTATTACAATTTTGTTATTACGATTATTCGATTGTAATTGTATATTTGAACAATTTATAAAGTGTATAAAAGATTAAAGGATTGGTTAATAAATAAAATTTTAAAGCAAGTATAAAATTTTGATACAAAAAAGAATAACTTTAAGTAAATTTAAAAAGATATTATTCGAACAAGTTATGGATAAAGTAAAAAGAATAATCATTCTTGTAAACAAATTAAAAACAATTTTATGAAAGAAAATATTAATTTATTCTTATTTATCCTGTATTTTATTTCCATAAAAAAATATGTCTAAAGTAATTAGAAATGCTACATCTACAAATCAAAAAATAAAAACAAAGATGTAATGCGCAGCAAATTTTTTTTTACAAAATATAATTTCCAAAGAATAGTTCTTTCCAGGATAAATGCATATAATAAAATGCGTAAATTCCATTTAATGTTTTTTTTTTTTTTTTT